CACACACACACACACACACACACACACACACACACACACACACACACAAACAACATAAAGGAGAACTTTCACACCATACACAACAAATGCAATAAATATATTAGTAAACCAACAGTTTAGTTGAAATTAAAACAAATTGTAGGCACATGCAGGTGTAATTGTTTTTTAGTTTTTAAAATCTTGCAAATGGCTGGAGACGACACTTCTTAGCCTTCAAGCTCCAAATCTCAGCTTCTAAACAGCACTTTAGGTTCTTTTAAATCAAATTTTTTTTTGCTGCAGTAACTGACGTTAAACAGCTTACTTAGTGTTTTTTCATACTAACAACAAAAAAGAGAATAACGGCACAAAGAACTAAAGCAAATACTTCAGGAAGCCCCGACGCAGAACACATTTGATGTGCAGGTTGTGATTATCATGTGCATATAAGGGACTTTTTTTTATGTATTTCATATAGTTGTGTGAACACAGTGACACATTCCCTGACTGATGCTAGTAGCATGGGAGAAAAGCATGGCGGCGAGTGAGAACACTGTTTGTGAGCCACTCTCTTCCTCACACATGCAACATGGATGCAGCATCCAGAGGTCTTTGGATGGAGACGTAAGCAGGCGCTCGTGTTACAAACCGCTGCCGCCAAGAGCCGGGCTCGAGCAAAGTCGCTGGCGAACATCATCTGCACATCGGCTAATTGTTACGATGCCGTTCTCTGAGCGTGTGTTTCGACTCTTCTTTTGTTTCATCTCTCGTCACACATGTTCCCTGGTTCAGGGTCTCCGCCGCTGCCGATGCTGAYGGACTGGCTGTCCTTCGACAAGGAGCCGGCCTCCTTCGATGCCCTCCTTTTAGAGTCGCGAGAGCTCTGTTGGGAACACGTTTTTGTTTTAAACATCAGCATCAGCGACTACAAGACTCACARCAACAAAGCTCCATCTGATATTAAATATCTTATTGTTCCATTTTTTCTTTGCTCTCTGACAGGTTTACTTAGAGGTTTTAAAAGTGGAATGGGAGGCAGAGCTTTCCGTTATCAGGCTCTTCTCTTGCAATTTAACTTCCTGTATTTAAAACTTTTATTTTATTTTTTTGTTTTACTTTGGGTTGGCTCGTATGTAAACTAAAGGACAAACTGACCATCTTTATACACTGTTGTCATTAGCATTTGTTTTTCTTTGAAACTACACCTGAACCAATCACTCTGTCAGATCAAAAATTAAGAAAATGAGTGWTTGGTAAATTATTTCATCGCTGTAATAATGCTTCTCGTCAATAAATCTTATATCGGACACCTGATTGGCAGCACCTGGGAGTRCCAGAAGCTCARAACAATTGTCAATAACAACAASAAAATGAGCTGTTTGGGAGAGAAGATTTGGTCTTTTTTTTTACTACGTGCACACATACTGCTCATCCCACAAATGCATGTTCCTTACAAATGTGGCACCATTTAAACTGGAAATTTACAGGCTTTCCAACTGTTATGATTTGTGTCTGTGTTAATGTTTTATTTTAGTTTCTGTCTTGTCATCTGTTTTCTTCCTCCTGTCTGCCCTTGCTCCAGCCCCGCCCACTCTCACCTGCTCTTCATGTTTCTCTCCCAGGTGTTTTCTGTTTGTGCTCGTTGGTCTCACCTTTAAATTCTGTGTTGTCTTCACTTTCCTGGCGGATCATTGTTCTGTATTGTCCTGCACTACCAAGCTTTGTGAGGGTTTTTTTTGTTTTGTTTTTTATTTTGAGCTGCTCTTGTGGTGCACTTTTTGTTTAAATAAATTTTGATTTTTGGTTCCTTTGAAACTGCCTGCATCATGGGTTCATTCCTGCCCGAAAGTCATAACACCAACAAAACATATTGCCAAAAAGCATTATTACAGCAAAGAAATAATCTATAACACAAAATGTGTTTGTATGCAACATATGATTTTTGAAAAAAGAAAACGAGTGGGGAAAACTACAAATAACAGCTGAAACAGACCCCTCCAAAAGTATTACACTGCAAAAAATGTCCACCTAACCAAGTTTTAAAATCTTCTATCCAGCCAAAAAGTCTTTTTAATCTTGTTTTGAAACTGATTTACTAAACAAGAACTGATTGTGTAAGAATCTTTTCAGAATGTGTAAGATTACTGTCTTAGTCTGAAAATTTGACTCAAGTAAAAAAAATTCTGCCAGTGGAGTAATTTTACTTGGTAAGATTCTTGAAATACTTGATTTGACTCATTTTATTTTATTTCAAGAATCTTACCAAGTAAAATTTTCTTACTCCATTGGCAGAAATGGTTGACTTAATTTGAGTCAAATTTTCAGGCTAACAAGACAAATAATCTTACACATTCTGAAAATAAGATTATTCTTACACAATCAGTTCTTAAATCAGTCTCAAAACAAGATCAAAAAGACTTTTTGGCTGATATAAGATTTTAAAACTTGGTTAGKTGGACATTTTTTGTAGTGTACATCATGCCAAATTCCATTCTTTTTGTTGTGCAATGAAAACATTTGGGTTTAAATTTTTAATTTAAAAATAAGATTTAATTATGATTTCAACTTTTTTTTCTTTTGTAAAAATCCCTGAGAGGACTATATTTTTGTGACTTGTACAAACAAGCTGAATTGAGCTGAACTTCTGAAAATGGTCCCAAATGGACAGAATCATGGGGCCTCGGGAACTGTTGGACTACAGGGAGTCTTAAAACCTGGACCTCATTGAGTCTGAGGAAGCTGCCRGCAGCACCTACTTCACTCAGGGAGCGCCTGGGTCTCCTCTGGTGGTTGGAGCCATTGGTGGAGAGGCCCTGCTTCCCACACTGGGTCCCTGTGGTCACCATCCTCTTCTCCCTCAGACTGGCCTCCACAGCTTTACCTTGAAGGGGTATTGAACGAGATAAAAGCCAACAAATTGTTWAAAAAAAAAAAGATAATAAGAAGATGCATCATCTGTCTCATCGTGTCACTCGCGTAAAATTGAGATAAACTTACTGTTTGAAACCGACACAGGGGGTTCCACGTCCGTATTGGTAAGCCATGTCGATTCGGTCTCTCTGGTCCAGCTTTCGTGGTACCTCGGCTCGATTATCGCGTCCGCCCGACTCCCACCGCAACCCATCGAGAGGCGCATCCAGGGCGGGTGGCGCTGAAGCTTGGTGCGGGGCGGAGAACAGCTCGGGTTGGTCTCAGAAGCACCGCAGCGGCAGCAGCATCCTTCACCGTGTTTGTGTTCCCATCATCAACATCATCATCATCACCATCATCATCACCATCATCATCACCATCAGCTGACCAGCAGCAATACACCAGAGGAAGATGTGCGCGTTCTCCTCGGAGGAGAGGAGGGAGTTCAGTCTGAGCGCTGATTGGCTGAGAGGGATGTCAGCTCAAAGTGCCGCCAGCATCAGCAGCTTCGTCATCATCATCATCATCATCATCATCATCATCATCATCATTATCATCATCATCATCATCATCATCATCATCATCATCATCATGCAATGGAGGAGTATCCCAATCCAAAGTGTTTGTTGGGTTTTTTAATTATTAAATTGAATTGAGGAAACTCGGTTATTATTTAATATGTGTATTTTTTAGTGCATAATTGAAGTGTTCACTTAAATTAATATGTGAATCTTTATAAAACAGATCCTTAAATGTTTACATTTTTGTATTTTTGCATAGGCCCCAAAAGGCAAAAAATTGTTTGAATGCAACAAATTGTATATTTTTTAGCCTGTAGAAAACAGCCCTGAAATCAAGATTTTCTTTATATTGTCATGATTTGTGTCTGTGCTTATGATTTAGTCTAAGTTTTATGTCTTTTCCTCCTGTTTTTTTCCTCCTGTCTGCCTTTGCTCTAGCCCCGCCCACTCACACCTGATCCTCATGTTTCTTCCCCAGGTGTTTCTTGTTTTACCTCATTAGTTCTTCCTTTATATTCTGTCCTTTGTCCTCAGTCTTTGTCAGATCCTTGTTCTCTGTTTGATGTTCATGTTCCTGCCCAAATCCCTTGTTGTTTGCTGCCACGTCAGCCCCTTTGTTTTTGTTTTAATAAATCACTTTTTGCCACCTTACTCAGTTCTGCATCTTGGGGTTCTAATCAACCAAGCTCAATCATAACATATACTGCATGTAGAATCATGTAAAGAGACATATTCTTATGTATAGACTTACATGCACTATAATTCTAAAATGGAGAAAATAACGAGCATATTTCACATATATTTATTTTCACATAAACTTTAAATAGTTGATTGAATTTCTTATAAATACAATACAGTATTAGCACAAATTACAATGACGTTGTTTTTATCACGTGCTAAATATTTAGATATCCAAGGAGCTTACAGCAAACATCACTCCTTTTTTTAATTTGACCATTTCACAAGATCACATCATAAAAAGGAAAAGACATCTACTTGTAAACAGGCGTTTCTTACTTGGAATTAAAATCACTTTCAAAACCTGRACAAACAGAAACATGTTCACAGATTTTTTGAAGCGTGGAATAAATAGAGTTTAATATACATTGTTTTCTCTCCAATTCCTCTCATATCATATATAATGTTAATTTCTTTAGAGTAGAATGGGAGGGGCGACAGTAAAAAGACAATAGTTTACATCTCCTTTAACATGAAGGAATGTCACAACCTCTGGTGTGGAATAAACTGAAAAAAAAAATACAATATTCAAGTTTGCTTTGTTAGAACTAATTGGAGAGTTTTTCCAAAAGATTTATTAATTTTTTTAWATCCTATCAAGAGCTACCAATCAGCACTCCTATAAAAAAACAATTGGGTCTAAAATGTACAAGAAAAATAACGATAAAAACACAAAAGGTGAAAAACAAAACAAAACAGAATAAGAAATAAATTAAAGCTTGTGAATGTGAACATTAGACCACTACAGCACATGATGATGATGATGATGATGATGATGATGATGATGACGACGATGATGGCCAAGTGGTTTAGACTTTGAAATCCAGCAAATTTAAGTCGATCTTATAGTAAACGTATGGGTAGTATTCCTGCTGGCTCAAGTTCAGCCCTGGGATATCCATGGAAGCCTAGAAGAAGAAAWAATAATATTCTCGTCACGATTTATTTAAAAGTCAAACCAATCTCATTCAAAATCTGTAAGTTTATAAATTAATTTTGAATAGGGGTGTCCCAATTAAGACTTTTTGTCCTTAAAACAGATAAAAAAATAATACAGACTCAAGACTTGAATTATTTTGCAATTAGTTTCTCTGTCACAAGATTGTGTGCTGCTGCTTCATAAAGTGTGTGGATGTTGCTGTAGAGTTCGAGGATATAACAGAAGTGTTGATTCGTTACATCGCTGAGTGAAAACTGGACTGTATTTTACATTTTTCTGATTTTTTCTCTCTCGCCGCACTGACTTAATGTTATCCATCAAATAAAACRAAGCTGTGGAGGAGACTCACGTCAATGATTGCAGCACTGCTGTCCAGATGCTTGTACAGATCGTACAGCACCTCTCTCAGTTTCTTCATGTTCTTCTTGTTGGGCTGAAGCAGCATGGCCTGGATGTTGACAGGCAGTCCGTATCTGTTAAAGGAAAACAACCAAAATGGACCTGATCTTAATGGAGTRGTTCAGATTTTTGAAAGTGCGGTTCTGTGGAAAGGTTATGAGCAGTTACTATCTTACCTGTTGAAGGTWGCTCTTTAAAGGGAACCCCARATAGTTGTAACAWTAGATATTATTWGATTTACTTCAACTATAAAACTGACTAAACATACTGTAGGCTGTTTGGCGATGTACCGTTAGCTGKATATGAACTAACGCCACATATTTATTAACAATACATATATAGCGTTAGTTCCCAAGCTAGCGTTATTAGCTCAGGAGCCAACGTGAAAGCTAACAAGGCAAGCTGAGGTCCTCCATCCACATTTACAGTTTCAGGCTGAGTTTCCTCTTTGTCAATGCGCTCTGGTTTCATTTAAAAGGCTGATAGTCAGATAWTGTCCAAGATTAACCTGCAGGGTGGATAAAGCTCGCTCTCGGCCTTGCATCAGAGTAAAGTTCATCATTTACCCAGTATGCTTTGCGGCATAAATAATGACGCTGTCCATGTGACGATATGCATTTTAAATTTTCTAAAAACTAAACAGCCTATATTCTTTTGTTAATTTTATTTTTTTGTTTTTTGTTGAAGTAAATTTTTTTGAAATAATGCCTGATGTTACAATTAGGGTTCCCTTTACATTGAAAAAAAGTTTAGTTTAATCTGGGCTGATGAGCAGAGCCGAGACTAAAACGGATTTCTGTCCAGCCAAAAATTTAATTTAATTTCCCCAACAGGTAACATACTTACTACTCATAACATTTCCAAATAACCTTATTATGGCCACATTTTAATCAGCCCTCACCTTAACACTGACTCAACAAACACACGCAGAGCTTTTATGTGAATCCATGCGATGAAGGCCTCGCTGAAATTCACCTTCAGCCATCGGACCAAAGGACCCTATGATCACATGAAAAGCAGTTTATTAGGAAGGAAAAACATCYAATACAAAATGTGTACATAAACATTATTTTCATCATGAAATAGATGAATAAAAATAGTTTGTTTTTCTATTGCTGGGTTGCAGATGATGTAGTATCGATGTCATGAAAYGCAGATGGKGGRG